CCTGTACCTCGATGATTGGTTAATGAGAGGTCGTTCGTATGAGCAGGTAGAAGCTCACGTATCACTCATAAGAGCTCTCTTCCTAAGGTTAGGGCTCATGATAAATGTCGAAAAGTCATCCCTGACCCCCTCCCAGAGCATAGAGTTCGTGGGAGCCCTCCTCGATGCGAAGGTGGCAAGAGCGTTCCTGCCCCACAGCAGGTTCCTCTCCATAGTGGAGCTGATCTCAGAGCTAACTCGGTCCCCCATCACGACACCTCGGGTCTGCTCCAGGCTCCTGGGCCATATGGCGACATGCACTTACACGGTGTGACATGCCAGGATGAGGATGAGACCTCTGCAGGCGTGGTTGGCGAAGGCCTTCTGCCAGTCCAAGGGTCTATGGGACTCCATAGTATCAGTGCCCCTGGACATTCTGGACTCCCTACTCTGGTGGACCCAGGAATCCATGGTGCGCAGCGGGGTTCTCGTAAACGCCCTTCCCCCCTTGCTGACGCTGGTCACCGATGCGTCCGACCTGGGATGGGGTGCACACCTCGGGTGCCACAGAACTCAGGGTCTCTGGTCCCCTTCCGAACGGTCCCTGCACATCAACCAAGGCTCTCCCACCGCTCCATCCTGGTACGTATGGACAACACTGCAGCGGTTTTCTACCTCAACAAGCAGGGTGGGGCGCATTCACCACCCCTATGCAAGGAGTCCCTGCGTCTATGGCATCTGTGTGTCACACACAATATCACGCCTCAGGCGGAGCACCTCCCTGGGTGCAAAAACCTACTTGCAGACACACTGAGCAGATCCTTTGGAGCCCACGAGTGGTCACTCAAGAACTCTGTCCTCAGCCAGGTTTTCCGCAGGTGGGGCTATCCCCACCTAGACCTGTTTGCCTCAGTGCGCAATGCAAAGTGCAGGAACTACTGTTCCCTGCTGGGGCTGGGGGAATATTCCCTGGGGGATGCCCTGATGACCATGTGGCCAAAGGGCGTTCTCTATGCTTTTCCCCCATTTCCACTAATTTCCAGGGTATTGACCAGAGCGAGAACTTTCAGGTGCTCGATCATCCTCATAGCCCCCAGGTGGCCCAGGCAGTTCTGGTTCCCCATCCTGGTGGACATGCTGACCCAAGACCCTATAGCACTCCCTCCAGTTCGGGATCTGCTAACCCAACCTTGGGACGGGGGGGTAATGGTTCACCCGGATCTCCGGTCTCTTCACCTAACGGCCTGGTTTATCCATGGTTGAACCAACCAGAAAGGGAATGTTCCCGAGAGGTACAGATGGTGCTCCTTAGCATCAGGGAGCCCTCTACTAGACGGTCGTATGCTGCCAACAAGTACCAGCTCTTCAGTAGTTTTAATATTTTTCTTTCCCATACGCTATCACTGCTTTGCAAAATTATGCTCTTTATGTGTCATTTAAAAGTAAACATAAATAAGAGTATCTCTTCCTAAAAGAACCACTATAAAATCCACAATAAAAAATATCTCTAGCTCTTTTTAGGAAACTATCACTTAGTGTATGATTACAGTCAAAAATCATTATGTAAGAGTTATATCACTTATCTGCTATCTTGAGTGATTAGTGCTTACTTTACTAACAGCAAATAAATTAAAAGCATTTTAAATAGAATTAGCCCTGCAGAATCAACACAGCTAGTGAGGGAGCTGGATTCTATTCTGACTCCTGAATCATGAACAGAATTCTCAGCTAATTTTTGATTGCAGAACCTTTATTACCAATTACTATATTCAAAGACCAAAGGAAATTGAGAATCAGATCCAAGATAAAGTTTGTACCACTGAAAGTTTAAAAAAAAGAGGTGTTTTTTTTTCTCTTTTGAATAGAATACGTTTCATGTTAAGTCACTGGAAAAGGATAAAGATCTTGCACTGTTTCTACAGAGTAACTGTGACATTTAAACTTAGACTATAAAGTGTTTTCCATCTTAAAATTGTTAATTTGATGGGGAAAATTGCAACTTCAATCTCTCTCTTTTTTACACACACACACTGTGTGTGTACATGTGTGTGTGTATCAAATCACTACCACCAACACAAAACAAATAATTATAAGGAGAAAGGTTCACCTATTTCTATGCAAAAGTTATCAAGATGGGTGGCGCAATGTATAGCGGAGTGTTATCAACTGGCTGGTAAAACCCCACCCAGGGTGAAGGCACACTCTACCAGGGCGCAGGCGTCCTTGGTAGCCTTTGGTGCCCAAGTACCTATCACAGAAATTTGCAGGGCAGCCACCTGGTCTTCCCTTCACACGTTTGCAACACATTATGCGCTACCTCAACAGGCCAGAGAGGATGCAAGGGTGGGCTCTGCAGTCCTCGAATCTGTGATGTAAATATGTAAATATATAGATCTGGTTGTCTTTGTTCTGGGTTGGTGACTTGTCACTGTTTAATTGTTCAAATAAATCTGTTTATTGTTCACCTTCCTTTATGACTCTGGTGCTATGACTGTTCCAACCCCTCCTCCATGGGGTTAGTGTGATAGTCTCCTACTTCGAATGGACATGAGCAACCACTTGAAGAAGAAAAGAACGGTTACTTACCTGTAACTGTTGTTCTTCGAGATGTGTTGCTCATGTCCATTCGACTCCCACCCTACCTCCCCTTCGTCGGAGTATCCGGCAAGAAGGAACTGAGGTGGGGCAGCGCCGGCGGGGGTACTTATGCCCTGCCATGGTGGCGCCACTCCAGGGGGCACCTCGCCGGCGCTCCAGGTACCGCTAGGGAAAACGCTCCGGAAGACGTGGTGCACGCGGCGCGCACACCTACTTCGAATGGACATGAGCAACACATCTTGAACAACAGTTACAGGTAAGTAACCATTCTTTTCCACAGGTTTACTGTGCATTATATGAACTCCTTGCCAGAAGATGTTGGTAAGTCCAAGACTACAGCAAGGTTCAAAAAGGGCCTAGATAAATTCATTGTGAATAGATCCACCAAGATGGGTTGCCGGTTTCCAATTCTGTTTTATAAGGCCTAAGATTGGTTCCAGCGTCACACGTCTTTGTAACACTCCAGAGTCCATGAGTCAGTAGAAAGACGGTTCTCTTCCCACATAGTTGTCTGTAATTAATGGGCTCTGTGTCTGGCTTCTTCATTTTGTTGTTCCTTATGATCTGCTAATAGGCTTTTCCCAGAATGAACACATTTATAATAAATCTACGGTCAATATTCCTAACTTCAGATAGAGAAATGTCATATTCATAAAAATAGTGTGTACACATTCAGCAGATTACAACATTTCAAATGATACCTCACATGGAGTATTTTGCATAAAGCATTTTCCAGTTATGCATATTCTTCAGCATATTTCCATAAAATATGAAATGCACTATCATAGTGGGTGTATATCTGTTTCAAAGACCATACTCAAAATAATTATCATTGGTTCATTGTCAAACTGAGTGTGTTGCATGGGGGCCAATTGTGAGTTTGGTGCCAATTAATTAATGATGGCTCATGGAGTGGGGAGAGTCTTATAAAATTAGCAGATAAAGACCTAACTGGGGGAGTGCCAAGAACTTCACTTAAAAAGGGTCAAAACTCAAATGCACAGCTACAAAATAAGGACTTACTGGGTAGGATGGTAGTACAGCTGAAAAGGACCTGGAGTTAATAGTGAACCTCAAATGGAATATGCATCGAAGTGATTCATTTGTCCAAAAAAAAAAAAATCTAAAACTGGGGTGTATTAATAGGAGTGTCATGTAAAACCTGGGAGGTAATTGTCCCACTCTAATTGACAAAGATGGGGCCTCTGCTAGAATACTGCATCCAGTTCTAGGCACTGTACTTCAGGAAAGATGTGGACAAACTGAAAGAGTGAAGAGGAGAGCAAAAAAATGATAGTTTATAAAAACCTGACCTCTGAGGAAAGGTTAAACAAACTGGACATGCTGCTTCTTGAGAGAAGCTGTAGGGGGAGCCTGATCAAACGTTAAATATATTAAGAGCTGTTATAAAGAGAACAGTGGCCAGTTGTTTTCCATGTCCATTGAAGATGAGGCAAGAAATTGGCATAGTCCACAGCAAGGGGGATTTAAGTTAAATTTTTAGGAAACATTTTCTTACTCGGTCAAAAAACACTCAGAGAAAACAGTCTGAGTAGTAGTTGGGACACCTCTTTTCTCGTCGTAGAGTCTACCCAGTTTGCCCTCTTGGCCACAGGTAAAATGATAGAATCATAGAACATTAGAACTGGAAGGGACCTCGAGAGGTCATCAAGTCCAGTCCCCTTCCCTCATAGCACATCCAGCACCGTCTAGACCATCTCTGACAGAAGTCTATCTAGCCTCTTAAATTTTATCTTCAGAGATGGAGATTCCACAACCTCCCTAGGCAGCTTTTTCTAGTCTGTAACCATCCTGACAGTTAGGAAGTTTTTCGAATGTCCGACCTAAACCTCCCTTGCTGCAGTTTAAGCCCATTGCTTCTTGTCCTATCTTCAGAGGCCAAGGAGAACAATTTTTCTCCCTCTTCCTTATGAGACCCTTTTAGATACCTGAAAACCGCTATCATGTCTCATCTCAGTCTTCTCCTTTCCAAACTAAACAAGCCCAATTCTTTCAGTCTTCCATCATAGGTCATGTTCTCGAGACCTTTAATCATTCTGGGTATGTCTACACTACCCTCCTAGTTCGAACTAGGAGGGTAGTGTAGACATATCCTGGGATAGGCTTTCAGTGAAGCCTGTGGAATACTCATCATTGGGGGTTTTTTAGGAACTGATTAGACAAACATCTGTCGGATGCTTCAAGCAGGGAGTTGGATTTGATGGCATCTGGAGGTCTTTTGCAGCTTTACATTTCTGTGACTTTTATGCACCCCCCCGCCCAAAAAAACCAGTGGAGCTCCCCTCCTTCATCTCTCCTGTTTTGACATTGATTACTCTTAATTTAATGCACAGAAGGCTACAGATGAGTGTCTGAGAACCTATCAAGTTTTTTTCCTCCTCCTTCCCTCTTTCTGCTTATAGGAGCGGTTGCTGTATTTGCTGTGGGTTACATAAAAGTATCCTGGGCTACCTGGGGTGAGCTGACTCTAGCCCTGTTCGCCCTCCTTATTGCTGCTGCTGTGTATGTCATGGACACCATTCGTAACATCTGGGTGTGCTACGCCTCCTATGTAATTTTCAGGATTGTCTACATGCTGCTCATCACAATAGCAACGTAGGTATTTTAATTAAAAAAAAAAATCATAAGATTATCTACATGTTTTGTTAGTCTTTAAGGTACTGCTAGACTATTTGTTGTTGTTTAAGTTTTTCTGGTTACAGACTAACATGGCTAGACCTCTGAAGTTTATAGCTGTCTGTCTCAAAACTGACTTAATGTTTTGCATGTAGGCAGTGCCTTTCACATAAGAGTCTTGAAACGAAGGGGCCTAGGGTGAGGTATCCTTTATAATGCAGATGGGAACACTGAGGCACAAAGACACTTGAGCTTTGACAAATTGCTTGCAATTCGGTGTCAGACCTGTGAAGAGAACAGAGGCCTTCAGATACTCAAGTAATTGTTTAATACTGGATCCTGTCCATGAAATATCTTTCAATAAATATTGAGTGAAGCCACAGAGAGGGGAAGAGGAGCAAGTGCTATGTCAGTAATATATGACCAAAGTCTAGATGTACAAGAAGAAAAATGAAGTTGTATTGGGTCACTTGCAGAGTGAATTGCAGCAATTGTTTCATCAAACACTACAGCACCACAGAACAGGTTAACTAGAAAGTGAAGGTAATACTATAATACACTGCACAGAGAGGGTATGTCTAAACTACACCTCTCTGTCGGCAGAGGGATATAAATTAAGATGTATCAAAAGCGCAAATGAAGCGGGGATTTAAATATCCCATGCTTCATTTGCATAATGGCGGCCGCCGCTTTTTTCTGAAATGGGGCTTTTCGGGAGGGGGGGAAGGGCAGTTTAGATGGGGCATTTTTGACAGAAATGCCCCATTTCGAAAGATCCTGTACTCTTCAAAAAATGAGGCGTTTCAAAAAAGTGGCGGCTGCAATTATGCAAATGAAGTGCGGGATATTTAAATTCCCACTTCATTTGCACTTTCGATACGTCTAATTTACATCCCTCTGCCGACAGAGGGGTGTAGTTTAAACTTACCCAGAGTTTTAGTCAGTAGGATAAACTGGAATCTGGCCAAGACAACAGGTAGTAAGTCTCCTCCTTAAATTGCCAAAAGAATTGCTAATGATCACAGGAGGGTCAATACAAGGGTTCTCCTTTCTGGCCAAGCAGGGTGCTGTCTCAGCTTAGCAAGACTGTTAGTCTGTTTGTGGTGCCCAGGAATCTTGAAAACTTTCTTTGATCTCAGGTCCCTTGGGGGGTGGTTCCTTTATCACTTGCTTGGGTATGGCTAGCTCTTTAGCTGTTTGCTAACAGGAGCTCCTTTCTCCAGCTTGTGGAAAGCTATTGTTCCTATTGCTTCCCAGCCCTTGTAATTCCTCTGCATCTGAGAGGCAGTGGCTGGCAGTACCTGTATTAATCCTTGAGTTAATAAGCAAGTATGGAGTACATACTCCCCTTGACAGTGGGCCTTTTGTATCTCTTCCGAAAGATGGCGTTTTCCTACAGCACAGTGTTGCACAAGTTTGAGGAGAGAGTATTTCAATACTGACTCAGAGAGCAACTTGGTGAACTTCTGAAACTGGTTTCTGCAGCACTTTAGATTTCCCTGAGATCTTCCCCAGTGCCAGCCAGCTTGTGACCTTGCTTAGCTTGTGATATACAGGCAGTCCCCGACTTATGCGGATCCGACTTATGTCGGATCCGCACTTACGAACGGGGCTCTCGCCCCGGAGGTCGAGGTAGCGGATTGCTACCTGCGAGCTCCGGGGCGAGAGAGCCCC